TGGCTTTAATTTGAAAGGACATGTTAAAATGTACTTTTCCGCTGACAAGCGAAGAGTAAGTGTCAGATACCTTTTGACGCCTTAGGAGGCAGGTTAAACATTGATTTGTTGACTGTTAACAAGGACTGAAACTACTTTTTTGCTATTATTATGAGCCATCGCTGTGTGATGTGCAGGCTACAGTTGCCACAGTTTAATTTGAAAGGCAAGTGTTTGGTGTGACAAGGTTTACGCTCCTGTAAAACTCATAATAATTTTCTAAAGCAGTCTGTCTAGTAGACCCTGATGCTGAATCGTGAATGCTCGCGTTGCGTAGGCGAAAAACGGGCAGGTCCGGCTGGCACTCTTCTAAGGATTTTTTAGGCCTGTAGGATTTCCAGCAACTTCCCGCCGGGCTAGTTAGGCGTATCCAGGGAAACAATTTGCAGCCAAAAATTTGCCATATGCAAAATTGCTATACACAAATAAATTTTGCATAGACATATTGGCATAAAATTTGTATAGCATTATATTTCAGGACAATCACAGAGTGGCAAACTTTTACACGAGCCAGCGCAGCATGCTTGGGCGTGGTTATCGTGTCGGCCTGTGGACAGGCCACCAGCTAGCTATAAGCCTAGGGACACACTAGGATTCTGCTACGGCTGCCCGGCAGCCGTTTAAAACAGCCGTGCGAGCTTGGCAATCGCCCGCTCGCCAATGCTCGAGTGAAATAATATCGGGCCGCGAGCGAGCTGAAAGCTTAAAGCTGACTCGCCCGCGGTTGGCCGGAGTAAATAATTGTCTAAAACTATGACTCAATGATTATTGGTTCCTTCGTTATTATATCCAAACATTGATGAAATACAGTTCTAAGCGATTGGTGAAGGGCGCGCTAATCACACGACATCATCCACTTTATATTATCAAAGAGTCGCGGAGAAAGCTGCCGCTGCAGAGGCGTGCAGCGCCAGACCAGCGTGGCTTTCCTATACGTGGGCCTGGGGCGCATATTGATGGTGATTACAGGGGGCGGGGGGGTGCGGCAGCGATTTGTTTTAAAAGTTCACGTGTGGCCGTGGTGTTAACAAGTCATAATAAATCGGGCGTAACGTGGCATTGGTCATTGACGGGGGGCAAAGCAGCCCGAGGATAAAGTCAAAAAAATTGGTAAAAATGTATGTTTCCGTTTACATCTGCGCATGGGCTGCATCGCTACAACTGGAGATTCATAAAAAATATTGCGTAGCCAAATGGCTGAAAATACATCCGCGAATATGCGCGATGGATACCGGAAATTATTCCCTGTATCTCAGAGGGCGATTGCAATTTTGATTATTGATTACACTTGCACGTGCCATCTCAGCGGCAACTATAGGCCTAGTTTTAAATGATCTTTTAATTCTCATGTAACTTTGTATAAACGAATAATAATACAACTAATTCAATATAATATTTATTTACTTTCATCTTGACATGTTAACTTATTATCATGTAGCTATGGCGTGCGTATCCATTTACGATCCCAGCTCAGCGAACATAATGCTATTACCATAGAAAATATTAAAAACACATATATTATTATTTCTATGGCTGTTTACAACTCAGGGGCATAGGAAGAGCATATGAGGGGCGCAGTAAAGGCATCATCGGGGCCGTTTAAAATTTTTTTTATATAATTAAGAGAGAGAGAGGAAAGTCTAGATAAGAGAGATGAGAGAGGAGTAGTAATGAGACGGTGGACAGGAAAACGGTGATTACGGGTTGTGTATGCCGAGCGGTAAACGGGATACAATTTAGCGTCGTGCGAGATGGTGTGACGCAAGGGGATGGGGAGGTGGCAGGCAGCGGGGAGGGAGTCGATAGGCAGGGGAGGGAGATGGGAGGTAAGGGGGGGAAGGTGAGAGGCAAGGCGGACGTGAAGTGGGAGGAGGTGGCTGGGTCCGCGGAAGGTGCAGAGGCCAGATGCGGAGGGAAGTTAGACCGGACGCAGTGCGGGAGGGGAATGTTGGGGCCGCAGTGGGGAGGGGGCTGGGAGATGAGGCACCACGTTCCCCTCTAATTTGTATCCCCGAACGAGTTCGTGGGCGCATACTATGGATTTGCTCGTCGCGCGCGCCGCTTGCGCCGCAGCGCGCCGCGCCGCCGCGCCGCCGGCCGCCGCCGCCCAATGATTTCCTTGCTGAGCGCTCTACCGGCCTGAGTTCTTTCTTCGGATCTCTTCAAATTTTGAATGAAGATGCGCTTATCGTAAGCGAAGACACTATCGTTTTTGGTTGTGCAGGGCCGGAGTCATCGTTGCCATACGGGTAACAAATTTTTTGTCGAATATTCTAGACTGTAACTCTGCCATTTTTATCCGATTGTCATGAAATTATGTTTGTGATTAAATTAAAATTTAAAATTCTAAAAAAGAAAGAAAAAATATATTGCAAAAAAAAATATAAAAATAAAAATATTTGTCATTAAATTTGTATTTACAAATTTATATATAAATTTGATGATTGTCATCAAATAATATATATATATAATATATATATATATATATTAGGACATGATTTATATCGGCCCTGCTGCATGCCAATTCGCATGAAAATTTCGGGGTAAAACAGCAAAGTTAGCTGTAGGTTCTAAATATTTCCAGCAAAAACGTTGTCCATGGTCCAATCAATTAGACTCCTCCCACAGCAAAAACTTGGCGTCTTTGCTTATAGCATAACGCACCTTCATGCCAATTTCCCAGAACGACCTGCGTATGCCAAGGCCGATACGCATCGAGATAAACAATATTTGCGGAGTTTACTCGCCATCCTGCGGCTCTTGCGCGCAGAGATGCCCGTAAATAATGCGCAGAACATAGCGCTGAACTGTCAATGCGGTGTATGGAGATAGATTTGGATATATATAATATATACCACTATTACCCATCGGCCAGAATGGGTTTGACGCTGCGGCCGCCGTTTGAGCGCGACACTGTAACCCAGAGGAAAGATTTGGTGCATTGTACGGCTGATTCGACGTTACTACAATGTTGTGTAATTATTTCATTATATCAATGATTATTATATTATTATAATTTAAGGTCTTTACGATTAAAGCGTCTTTCCTTATGAACCCCTAATCTATCAACTTGCAAGATTGCTTCAAATCACGATAGTTACAAAAACGCTATCTCCCCCCCCCCCCCCCCCCCCCCCCTATTTGCTGCGTACTCCTATATTTGTATCCCTCGTATATCTACGAGTATTTAGTAGTATTGTTATGACATGGAACTGTGTTGCATGTGTTTATTGAGAAAGGTGGAATGTTACAGCAAACACCAGAACATGATTTTGGCATTACTGTTAACGGGCCCGCGCGTAATTCACTTATCTCATTCGACAACCGCCATAGGAATTTA